GGCATGACTAAACACCAAGGTGCACGGAACGCTGTTACCTTCCCACCGAAGTGGTACCTATTTACCTACTTGCAATTTCTTGCTTTCGAACTGCTAGGTTGGCAGGAGCTAGAACTAGAGACGGGAGCTCACTCCGTCATGCGGCACCCGGGTCTTGAACTGCTGAACTACTGACCTTCCACAGCCTGCAGTTCAGCGTCTTAACCACTTGAGCCACCGCAGCTTATTATTACTTTTTATTTATTAATTAATTTTTTTAATTTATATCCCACCCTCCCCACATGCAGGCTCAGGGTGGGTCACCTCCATTTCAATACAATATGATACAATTCAGTTAAAAACAACTTTAAAACAATAATTTAAAACAGTATAGAATCATTACTATCATTATTATTATTTAATTTATACCCCGTCCTATCCCACGAGTGAAGATTTAAGACTATGCAAAGTATTAAATCATTCCTATACACTGAGGATGAGCAAATGCTGAGATACCATTTAAATACTGAGACCCGGATAGCCCAGGCTAGCCCCATCTCTTCAGATTTTGGAAGCTAAGCAGGGTCAGCCCAGGCTAGTATTTGGATGGGAGACCCCAAGGAATACCCTCTTCAGATTTTGGAAGCTAAGCAGGGTCAGCCTTGACTAGTATTTGGAAGGGCCACCTCCAAGGAATACCAGTTTTTATTGTGGGTTGTGTTTGGGGTTTTTTGCCTGCTCTCATAAGCTGGCAAAAGAGGTTCCTAATAGTTCAGGTGCTCTTTACATTTCAGGACCTTGTAGTTCCATTTGTAACAAAAAATAAACATTTAAAAAGTAAACTCGATGCGTTATTATTTTCTGAATAATCTGTACTTTTAATATATCAAACATGATACTTTTATGCCAAGCCAATTTATGCACACTGCATTTTATGTTCCCAAAGTAACAAAGTTACTTTCAATCTGTAAAGAGTACTAATACCACATTTTTTCAATTTTTCCAAAAATTTCTGTTTTTTTCTCCTGACAAAATGCCAGACAAACTTAGGATCTCCTGGCTATACCACACACAATGCCATACAATGATAGTAACAACAAACAACAACTGAGAAAATACTGAAGATACAATTCTCAAATGCTAGAGAAAGATGCATTTCTGTCCCTAGGGAGCACTGCAGTTGTCACAAGAAAAAGGTTTCGGTTTCCTTTTTCTTTGGAGGATTCCTCTTGTTGGTATAGTTGGTGGATCTGTTTCTGTCCTCTCAACTAGGCCTCAAAAGACTGCTAGAAAGTACGACAGAACAACCAAAGAAATTGAAACTGATAGCAAGAAATG